TTCGTAATTTTGGTGGGCTCCACTTTTGTTGGGTTGGGCAAGGACATGACATGTCACGTTGCCATGTCATTATTTATTTATTTATACAACTGACGTGTCTCAAATGTTTGATATGTCATTAAATTGTCGTGAGATAACAGTGAGATTTTAACGGAAGGACCAAATCGGGGTAAAAATGGTAAACAATAGAGATCAAATCAGGGATTTTTTTAGTTCAGAGACTAAATCGGGGGTCCGTACAATAGTTCAGGGACCAAAAAAGGGTTTTAACCATAATTAAAATAAGATTAAGATATTATGAAATACTTATTCTTAAGATTTGAGACCAGGCAAATCTCCATCCAAATAAAGACCTTTCTATTATGAATTTAATTATTTTCTAATCACTCTTCCACTCAAAATATTTAAACATTGGATGACTTGGAAAAGAAAATAAGAAAAAACAAAGGAAATGAATTAAATACCTTATTGTTTAAAAGTGGTGTGTCCCTACAATTACTACCGAGGCTAATCAATTTGGGCAAACGTTGTAATCTTAAGGACCGTTGTTTGCCAAGCTTAACTCCTCCTTGATCATTTAAAAGTGGTGTGTCCATACAATTACTGTAGAAGCTAATCAATTTTGGCAAACGTTGTAATCTTAAGACCGTATTTTGCCAAGCTTAACTCCTCTAGTTTCTTCAACGATATCTCCTCTGTTCCATTGCTCTGCATGCATCAATAATCTCTTTAATGTTGTTACAATAATTTCTTGAAATTAGAGAAGTTGTCCGAGCATGTGGATGGAAAACAAATTCTTCAACTAATGACAACATTCAACCTTTACCATTCTTAATTTGCTGACGACTGTATCTTTGAACTGTCCTTGAAATAACTTCACCAAGTTAATCAAATTGTGAAGACACAATACTTTCAAGCAGGAAATGCATTGGAAAGACCTCGTTCCCCCACGTTAACAACCTGTTGAACCTCAAGAGCATCATGCACATAAAGATACTTTAGAGTATAAAACACCCCACTCTATGAGCTACAAATTTCATTAAAAGTATAAAACTCAACCCTCAATTTGTTATGAGATAGATGCATCTTTACCTTAAGAATGGGATCGGAAATTTTTCCGTTAAATATTGATGCATCTTTCAACAACAACTTCTTTATGATTCGTTTTTCCCATTCAAAACCCAATTCTCAAAATTCGGATTGGGTATCCTCATAGGAAGTTCTACATTATTGGGCTTAAATCTCATTCCTTTCGATGAGCACTAGACCTTGGACTATGATCATAGATTTTCCTCCAACTTTTGTTTTTGCCAAAGGCCTAGTTGGTGGTATAGTGGGTAAAAAGAGATTCAACTCATTCTCTTTTTCTCAAATTTTCACATCAACCCACATGTCTACTAGCTCATAAAATTTACATTCATATTTCTCAAATTCTCAATTCATGGTACCACAATTTTGATATCAAATCGAGCTAGTGAACCACCATTTTCTTTCCATACATGTAGAGACTTGTATTTAATAATTTTTTAACTCAAACACCATTGTACCTTGTTGTACAATAGGAATGTCCATCACATTCCCCTTTTCTCAAATACCTTACTATTTTTTCATCATACACCATTATACCTTATTGTATAATAGAAGTGCATATCACATTTGGTTTGTTAAGCACCATTATACCTTATTATATAATAGGAATGCTATGCAAAATTTTAATTAGGCACCATTGGTCTCATCACCAATAATAATACATAAGGATATTATAATCACGTTGGGATTATCTCAAATATATGATTATCACATTTCTCAAATAATTGATTTCATGAAGAAACTCATTTACTCACAAATTTTCATAAGAGCATATTAGCTTTTCTTACATTTTATCGCCACAAATGGCTCCTCGATCACACAAGTTTAAAAAGTTTAACTTACGTTTCTAGAATATATCAATTCAAATTTCAAGTCCATTTTTTTCAAAATTATTGCATAGACCAAATTGGCTAGCTCTTTCCTCTAGCCTTTTCCAATTTTCAATTTGGTTTTCAAAGTTT